CCCGGGGACATGGAGGCTGCTAAGCTTCTCTCAGAAGTTGAGTCTCACAGTAAGTCAATATAGCTTACATGTCCTCAACCAAGGCTGTTAGCTCTGGAGTCTGTCTGTGATCTTGTCCTTCCACAGATCCTGCCCTGTCATCTCCTGACCAACCAGACTGGCATCAGGATGAAGCTCAGGTGGCAACAGAGCTGGCTGCCAGGGTGAAGCACAGTCTAAGGTGGGAGAAATCCCATAGTGTGTGAGATTGGCTCCAGAACATGGGTACCAGCTGCTACCTGAACTCCACTCTGCAGTGTCTGACACACCCCACCTCCTGTCAACTACATGCTGTCCCAGGCTTACTCTTGTAGGAAGCCACTTGTTCTCCCCAGCTGCCTGGCTAGCTAGGTCCCCAAATAATCACACAGAAACCATATTATTTAAATCACTGCTTGGCCCATTAGCTCTAGCTTCTTATTGGATAACTCGTACGTATTAATTTAACCCATTTCTAGACCCCTCCAGAGAGTTGGGTCCCTTCTCAGGCTCTGTACTCCACAGAAAACACAGCTCGTATTCTGGTTCTGGCTGACTCCACTCCACGGCTGCTGCTGTTCTTGGTGGTCATCCCATGCTCCACTGTCACCTCCAAAACACTGGAGTCTTCTGCTGCAACTGGACCAAACTTTCACTAATTCTCTCTTGTAGACTCTCCTCATGGTGCCTAGCCTCAACAACTTTGTATGACCCCTTCAGTCCTGGGCCTTCAACTGCCAGCGAGACTGTACCTTCACCAGTGATCTCTGCCTTCTCACAGTGCCAAACCCCAAGTGCTCTCCATGACCCCTTCATGACTTCAAAACCAGTACCACCTGGGTGACTCTTACTCATTACCAAGCCCAACTGCCAGTACAGCACGAGGTTCATCTGTGGCTGCCTCTGGGACTTAGGTTTTCTGTGCTCTCAGGGAACACGTCCCAGAAGATTTCACGTCAGTGACTAGGTCTCTTCTCATTCACCACTAACATCTTTGCTCCAACTGAGCGACATCAAGTCTACCAGCAAAGGAAAGCACCTGTATCTTGTTCATCACAGCTGATTCTTCAGCCGCCGCCAACCAGAACCACAGAATCTTTATTCAAAATAACAAAAGGCTTTGAGATAACCTTTGAACTTTCCTCTGAAACGTCACAAGCCAGGCCTTAGTCTTCTGAGTTGCTCTTGACATTCTTGAGTTTCAAGGTCCGAAAGAACACCCCACTGAGCTCTTAACACTCAATTATTCTTCTAGCCCAAAGTTCCAAAGTCATTCCACAATTATCCCCAAATCATGACCAGGGCTGTCCCAGCAACACCCCAGTATACTGATCTCAGGTTTTCTTAGTTAGGGTTTCTATTCCATAACCAAATAGCAAGTTTGGGAGGGAAGGGTCCAAGAATAAGAATATAAAAATGTAGATTCCAGAAATAGGAATGTAAAAATAAAGAAATATGAAGTTATAAGCCTAGGAGAATGAGCACAGACTGTCAGCAGCTGTCTCAGCAGCTTGAGGATTAACTATTAACAGTGGGTCACTCCACTTTACAACCCAGAGCTCTATTTACAAGGCCAAAGCATCTCTCTGCAAACTGAGACCTAGCCTACATATGAGTCAACTTTTTGAGAAAATAGTTATATGACCTCTGGGTTAGGCATTATCCCTGCTATGTTAAACTGACAGCATCAAGCAGACAACACAGGACTTCAGTAAACACCACCTGGAAGTACCAAGGAAGATAAGGGGTTAAGTACACACACTAGTTTAACTGAAAAAGTGTTAATGGAGATTGTAAAGTAAGGCAATCTGTATCTGAGTTTTACCTTAAAATTGTAAAAATTTCTGTGTTCAGACCTAATGCTTGGTGCCTACTATAAAAGGGTTCAGAAACCGACCTCTGCCACAGCCTTACACCCCCCCCCCCGAAAAAAAAATCTCTGGCTGTGGTCTCAGCTGGTAACTTTTTGTGCCCCATGGAGATTTATTTATTTAATTTTTTTAAAAAAATTTTTTTTCCTGGATTCTGGTTTCTGGAATAAAGTTTGCCTCTGGTTTATTAGACTTTGGTGGTCTGTCCCCATCTTTGCGCAAACCCCCTGAATCCAACAGGAGGAGTGGGTTTGACTCAGCTTACTCTATGTTGCTGCTTACCTCTGAAGGATGTTAGGACAGGAACTCAAACAGAGCAGGTTCCTAGAGGCAGGAGCTGAAGGAGAGGCCTTGGAGAAGTGTTGCTTCCTGACTTGCTGTCCCTGGCTTGCTCAGACTGCTTTCTTATAGAACCCAGGGCCACCAGCCCAGGGATAGCACCACTCACCATGGCCTGGACCCTCCCCCATTGATCAGGAATTGAGAAAATGCCTTACAGTTGGATCCCAGGGAGGCATTTTCTCAACTAAGCTCCTTCCTCTCTGGTGACTCTAGCTTGGGTCAAGGTAACACACAAAATCCACCAGCACAGTCAGGATGGTTCACAAAGGATCTTGCCTCAGAAACAAACACAACAGTAGCATTTGCTACCTAAACATTCATCTTATCTTTTTGAAGTGGGAGTCAGCAAGATTTTGGAAGGAAATCAGTACAGTTTATACCACAGAGTAAACACCAGGGAACCCTAGCCTAGGATTTAGACCTATTTCATGATAAACACTTATTATCTTAGAACTTTTGTTTAAATATTTATTATTCTAATTTTAATCATTTTGTGATACTTACATTATTACCAAACTTCTCCCACCTTCTTATCTATTACCATTATTATTATTACTATTACTGTTGTTCTTTGAGACAGGGTTTCTCTATGTGTAATTCTGGCTGTCCTGAAACTATCTCTGTAGTCCAAATTGACCTCTAACTCACAGAGATCCATCAACCTTTGCTTCACCGAAGCTGGGATTAAAGGCATATGCCACCACCACCTGCCTAATTTTGGCCCTTTCTTAGGGAGTAAAACAAAGCAGACAAAAAAAAAGAAAAAACAAAAAACAAAACCCTAAAACAAACAAAACAACAACAACAGCAACAAAACAAAACAAGGAAAAAACAAACAAACAAAAGAAAAGAAACCACACAAGGAAAGTGCCAAGTGGTGGCAAAGGAGGAAGCTGGAGACCTGGATGCGGATTCCTCCCTAGCTGGATGGCATAGAGGCATCAGTAGGCTGGTTTGTAGGCAGGGCCCAGAGGCCACTTTTAGTTATGCATTGGCACCTTAAACCCTTCAGGAGGCACCAAGACCCTTCTCCTGCCTGAGATCTCCTCACCTGAGATGGCCAGGAGCTCCTGTGGTCAGAGGCTGCCTTAATCACAGATTATGCCCGCCCCCCACTCGGGGTCCTGCATGTGAGGTTCCCTAGAGGTCAAAGTTCAGCAGCTCTGTTGACTGGGGGAGGACCAGGCCTCTCTGAAATACTGCAGTGACGAGGAGGAGTCAAAAGGAAATGTGGATTTGAGGAATCTAATCAAACACCTATTTTCCACTGCAGGCCAAAGAAAGGTCAGTGATTGTCCTAGCCATGAGGGAGACAGTAACATTTGTTTGTTTTTCTTCACAGAAGTTGTGTATAATAATCATTGATTATACCTCCTTTTTGCTTTAAGAAAATTGAAATCCCCTACCCAAGGAATAAGGCCAAAAGAAAAAAAGAAAAAAAACAAAACAAGATTGCCCTAGGCCTGAGTGTGGAAAGGACTGAACATCTCCCAACTCTCTTGATATATTCTTGCCTCACCAAGTTCCAAAGACCTAACAACAACCCTGCACTCATTGTGAACGCCTCTTGTCCACTGGAAAATATTTCCCACCTGGCCAGCACCCTAATTAATCTACTGGCTACACCTCTCCTGATTAATAACTCTCTGGCACTGCCAGCTCTGTAAGCCTGTACATAATTCAAACTAGTCACCCGCACCTTCCACGAGGACACAGGTTCACCATGCACTCTTGTTCCTGAAAAGCATGACTCTCATAGCCTAGCTGGTTCACTGTGGTGTGCTGAGTTAGCTGTGTGCTTCCGCCTTGTGGTGCGAAGATATTTTACTGTTTGATCTTATACCTCTCTGGTGTGGGGATGCGGGGTTCCACCATCTCACACTGTATAAGACAGGGATCTCTTTCTCAGTAGTGGGGTTACTAGGGAGTGATCAGGATAGAGGGCTGCTTGAACCATGAAGCGTCTGAGAAGCCTGCTTAGAGCAAGTTGTGTGCGGATGGACAGCTGTAGAGGCCAGCAGCCTTGCCTGTGCCCGGTAGGCACGGCTGTACTTTTGGGCAATGCGATGAGTTTAACCTTGAAAATCTGTGTGAAGAAACAAAGGGCATCGTCTGGAGGTCAAAGGGAGAAGAAATAATTGAGAAACCCCCTCCTGCTGCTTCACTCCTGCTCCCAAGAGCAAAATGCTGTCTCCCGTCAAGTGAGTTCTATGAAATTAGGCTCTCTCTTTTCTGACCTGGAAAGATGTGGACTAGAGGTGTGCCTTCTTACCTTAAAGATCCTGAGTAGAGGTGGATCTTCCCGCCTCAAATTAAGGAAACATCTCTTACAGGTGGCTGCCATGTTTGGATTTTAGATAGTTCCAGATGTAGTTTCCTTGACAATCAAGGATAGGTATGAGGGAAGACAGTAATCTAGGCAACAAGCAAACAAGCTGCTGAGAGGAATGTTGCCACGAGGGCATTGCCTCCGCCATCTTGAAAGCTACTTCAAAACCAGGCTTGTGTCTCATTTGTTGCCCTGCCGATCACTGAAGTGAAAGTCTTGTAGTGTACGTCCACAAACCTTTCTGTATTGCCTGTTGTGTAGATTTGTGTTAAAAGGAACACTAGACTCTGAGGTGGGAAGACAGAAGGCTTTAGCTTTCATCTTGATTCTGGAAGACATACACCTGATGGGATTTTTTTTTTTTTAAATTTGCTTTCTTGAGACAGGGTTCCAACCTTGGCTGCCCTGGAATTCACAGAGATAGTCTTGCCTCTGCCTCCTGAGTGCTCGGATTAAAGGTGTGCGCCACCAACTCCAGGCTTTGATTGGGATTATAAGGAGAAAAGACACACCTTTATTCTGGGCCACACCTTCTGTTGGAAGCCTACTTAAGAACCTGGAAGAAGGAAGCTTTTGAGCTTCGCCTGCTTGCTCCTGCCCTGTTAGCAATCTGGCATCAGAGACTCTTCCTTTGGGATGTCAGCATCCAATGAAGACCAGCTGAGCCCTCTAGCCTGGTTAAATGAAGACATGAGCTTTTACAAGGGGGAAAGTATCGTTCTGCCTGCTGAGGGGACTCCAGTACCACATGTGAAGGAGGACCCAGGGGCCATAGAGTCTGCTAGACTGTTCTTAGAGGGTGAGTCTCACAGTAAGTCCATTAGAGCTTACATGTCCTCAACCAAGGTGTTAGCTCTGGAGTCTTATCTGTGATCTTGTCCCTCCCACAGATCCTGCCCTGTCATCTCCTGACCGACCAGACCAGCATCAGGATGAAGCTCAGGTGGCAGCAGAGCTGGCTGCCAGGGGGAAGCACAGTCTGAGCTGGGAGAAGGCCTATGACGTGGGCACTGGGCTGAAGAACATGGGGAACAGCTGCTACCTGAATGCCGCCCTGCAGTGTCTGACACACACACCACCTCTTGCCAACTACCTACTGTCCCGGGAGCACTCTCGGAACTGTTGTCACCAAGGAAGCTGCGTGATGTGTGCTATGGAAAATCATGTGACCCAGAGTCTCCTCCACTTGAAGCGTGTCATCCGGCCTTCAGAGATGCTGACTGCTGCTTTCCATAAGAACAAGCAGGAAGATGCCCACGAGTTTCTGATGTTCATCTTGGATGCCATGCGCACATCCTGTCTACAAGGAAGCAAGGACTTGGAGTCCACATCTGAGCACAGCACCATGATCCGTGAGATATTTGGAGGCTCCTGGAGATCTCAGATCAAATGTCTCCGCTGTCAGGAAACCACAGACATCTTAGAGCCCTTCCTTGACATCACCCTGGATATCAAAGCAGCTCAGAGTGTGGAGCAAGCCTTGGAGGCTTTAGTAAAGGAGGAAAAGCTGTGTGGGGAAAATGCCTACCATTGCGACCACTGTCAGAAGAAGACGGCAGCTTCCAAGACTCTGACTGTGCAAGATGCCCCAAAGGTTCTCCTGCTGGTGTTGAATCGCTTCTCAGAGTTCACAGGCGACCACAAGGACAGGAAGGTGAGCTACCCTGAGTCCCTCGATTTCCAGCCATACGTATCTCAGTCCAGTAGCGACCCGTTGGTGTACGCCCTGTATGCTGTGCTGGTCCATAATGGTGTGACTTGTCACAGTGGACATTACTTCTGTTACGTCAAAGCTGGCAGTGGCCGGTGGTATAAGATGGATGATTCTCATGTCAACAGCTGTGGTGTGTCCTCGGTCCTAAGTGAGCCTGCCTATGTGCTCTTCTACGTTCAGCAGACTGCTCTCAGAAGGAATGGTGTGGATGCTCCCATGGGCAGAGTAAGCAGGAATCTTTGCACGGAATCCCCGGTAGGAACATCCAGGCAGAGAATGATCAACAGAGGATCCCCCACAGAAGCGGAAGAGCCACTGGATCTCACAAAGAAAACAGATACCAATGATTTCTTAGCCCAGTGGAATATGCTTTCTGACTACCCAAGCCTGTGGTGAATCATGGCAAAAATGGATTCACTCTGTCAGCCAGTGGAGTTGTGATTCTCCAGGCTGCATACAGAGTGGACTGGGGGAGGCACCATCCCCATCACGACAGGAAGAATCACCCCGGTCAACATTCTGCCAGGCTTCTGTGTCATCTGGGGACCACGGACACTGGGCAGCTCTGTAGTAAGGGAGGGAGACCAAGATCTAAGAAGAAGATAAAGTAAGGTAGGAGGCTTCTGGCTGTTTTCTAGGTCTCACTCCACTCCCTGACCCTGGTAGCTGTGACCTTAAAAGTAATTTTGGAGAGAGAGGTGGGGACCTGTGCTTCAGGAAGGACAGAATTTCTCACCCTGAAGGGTCTCTCTACCTTCCCCTGTGTCCTCCACTGTTGTTCCCGTGACCCTAGGAAAGTCAGTTTGGGTGTGAAAGAGACTGCTCAGAGAGCTGGGACTAGTTAACCCTCAGTATTCTTTTGTATTTGGGAGGTGATGTCTGCAGCGCCCCCTACTGGAGCTCATGGACCCAAAGTAGGGTAGACACTACCACCCAGAAATTTTATATTTAGGATTTCCTCTCAGCCAAGGTGCGGGCCAGACCCACTTTTAAAGCTAATTCTTTTAAAAAAGCCTTTCTCTTGGCTTCACGAAATAGAACACATTGAGGGGATTGTTTTATTCTTTGTGCTTGAACTACGGTTCTTTTTACCAAATAAAATCTGTTACTTGACGCTCTCTGTCCTTTCTTATTTTTCTTTTGTAATTTTTTTTTATTTTTGAGACAGGGTTTCTCTGTAGCTTTGGAGCCTATCCTGGAACTAGCTCTTGTAGACCAGGCTGGTCTCAAACTCACAGAAATCCGTCTGCCTCTGCCTTCCAAGCGCTAGGATTAAAGGCGTGCGCCACCACTGCCCAGCCTCTCTGTCTTTTCTTTTGTCTTGAAGGATAATTGATATTGAATATTATTAAAGTTGAAGCATTTCCTGAAAATTAATTAGCTCACCTGCCAGAATTAGTTATTAATTCTGGATTTCTACTCAGCCGTGGAGTTGCTTACCCAAACTGACTTATGCTAAACTTTGTTGCTGGTGTATCGGTGGATGGCTTCCTTGAGTCTTTTTTTTTTTTTCTTTTTTACTTGAACTGCAGTCAAGTAACTAACAAACTAACAAACAGCAGCTGGTCCTTTTGTCCACCTTGTACGGAAATGAGCTTTACTTTTAGCCCTTACCAAACAGCTCATCTCGGCAGGAATCAGAGATTTAGAGAAAACCACAAGTGTCATAAAACATGTCTTCTGTCTTAAGACACGTGACTCCAATGCTTACACCAACAGCTTTAGGGGGGAGTGAAAAGAATCTGCGTGGATTCGGATGTTCCTCTCCAGAATGGACTAAGGAGATGACTGTAATCTCTCACGTTCACGTCCAAATGGCAGCAATACTGAGAGCTCCTCCAGTGGCTTGACTCACGTATCCGTGCCGTTGGCATCAGCTCAGAGTGGACTCTGGACTCTGAAGTGTGCCGCTGAGAAGCACTCTCGAAAGGTTCACCTGTCCTTCCCGTTGCCACCATCAGGAACCTCTGTAAGATCCTTTAGATGCAGGGCGGTGGTGGCGCACACCTTTAATCCCAGCACTCAGGAGGGAGAGGGAGGCAGAGGCAGGCCATCTCTGTGAGTTCAAGGCCAGACTGGTCTACAAGAGCTAGTTCCAGGACAGGCACCAAAGCTACAGAGAAGCCTTGTCTCAAAAAACAAAACAAAACAAAACAAAAAACAAACACCCCCCCCAAAAAAAAGAATCCTTTAGATGACCTCAATGTTCATAACTATCTTCTTGTTGTCAAATGGTGTGACATTATTAACTTATAGCATTAAAATTATCCTAGTAATTATGTATATACAGGACTTTTCTTGTGGATCACATGGGGTTCTTCACACTACCAATGTATGGTTCAATAACATACTGCAAACCCCAGTGGCACCAACCTACCTCATCAGGTTGCCACACAGACACTGTGCACACCTACACCCACCTTGTGGCCATAAGACCACTGAGAGGTAGGACCTTCTGTACAGCCCCCTGTCCAAACAAGTGCCGTGTTGCTGGATGTTTTGGCCTGATTGACATCCTGAAATCTAGGTACAACTATCACAAAGTATGCAGCTCTGGGCACTCCAGCTCAGTTACCCTAGTTCACAGAAGCAAAATAAAAGCAGTTAGTCAAATCATAAGCAGAGAGTCATGGCTGTACATTTTCAGATGGGGTTTACTGAGTCGGGGGTCCTGTGAACTTATCTTCCAGGGCCTGGAGTCTAAGTCAAATGGCTGGTAGGTACCAGGATGAATGCCTGGCATAAAATGGAGCTTCTCTAGCCATAACACCTCTGACTTTCAACCCTGGATGGAGACGATGCCCATGAGACCTCATCCCTTCCTGAGGAGCTAATGGCTGTTGGTGGTTATTAGAGGCAGTGATGTCATTTCTTCTAATGGTATAAACACTGGGGGACTAGGTGTGTGGAGGAATGGGTTCTGAAGGGAAGGATGGAGGGTGTTAGGATGGGCAAAATATGAAAATAATAATTAATAACAATACATTGTATGTAAGTATGAAACTATAAAAATCAATTTTAAAAGAAAAATAGCACTATGATACACACATCGGTCTTCAGAGTTTCATCAAGTGGGGATTAGAGATCGGAGCTTGGGCGACGTGGGCTGAAATTATGCTGCAGACGAGAAGCGTTGTCCTAAGAAGATCAAAGAGGAAGGCATCTTGACTAACAAAACCCTTCTGTTGGCATTTTTATATGATTAAACTCTCAGATACATTACATTCCAGGGAAAAATTAGCTTGGAAAATTTAAGATTATTCCTACCAAGTTTTCACAGCTGTTTTAAAAATTTCTTAAAGGTGAAATTATGGACTTTCTTCCCAATGATAACTCATCAGGGTTTGCACACAGAAATTCTCGTGTGTGTGGTGTGGTATGTGTGTGTGCACATGCAAGCACACACAAGAGCTTGTGTATATTTGTCAGAACACATGTGACGTTCGTGTGGTGGCCAGAAGAGATCTCAGCTGCCATTTCCTCAGGTCTTACCCTCTCTTTTTGAGACAGGGTTTCTCAGTGGTTTGTCGCTGGCACATCTGATAGCCCCACCTCCCCAGACCTGGGATTACAGCTATGGGCCTGCAAATACCTGGCTTTTAAATGTGTGCACTGAGGATTGAACTCATGTCCTCGTGTTTGCAGGGAGTCAGTCACATTACTGATAGACCTGTCTCCTGTGCCCCATAATACTCTTCAAATATAACCTCTTGACAGAGACAAGTTTGTTTTAAAAGCTAATTTTAGCTTAGTAATTATTCTCTATTGGAGTTATGTGTGGATTTATCTCCTGTTTTAAGATATTAGTTTATTTAAGAGATAAACTTAGTTAAGGGCATCACTCTAAACAGTTGCACGGTTCCCGTTTGGCTCCAATGGACTTTAACTATCGCGGATTGCAGTACTCCATCCTTCCCCCATGTGTGTTACTTGCTCGTTAGGATATGTCTGTCCAGACAGGATCAAATCACAGGATAGTCAGCAATGCCTTCAAAGAAAGAGTTTATAAAGAAAAGGGAGTGGAGCTGGGGTGCCATACCAGAAAGAGCAGGATGCAAAGGAATGCTCACTGAATGACGCTTCCACTAGATGGCGCCATTGACTATCTTCTGATCCTTTGAAATGTAAACTGTCCTAGAGCATTCTAAAATCAAAACGGAGCCATCAAAATGTGAAGAAAAAAAATTCAAATGGTATTATCAGGTTGAATTTTGTAAACCACACTTGCTTATTGAAATTGGGCCTATGGTCATTAACTCGATGTCTGACACCACCAAATTCCAAACTTAAAGTTTTGCAAAGCCATTGTTTTAAATGTAGCCCAAACAAGCTTGATTTTATGTCAGGGTCCACAAATCCTGGTGGGATGTGAGCTAGGAAAGGAGCATGGTAAAAGTGACCTGTGAAATACACTGGCCTTCCAATTTTGTCAAATTAGGGCAAAGGGCAGGAAAGGGCAGGCTGGAGCATGGTTTTTTTTTTTTTTTTTTTGGGTGGGAGATGGAGCGCAGGCTCACCAGCGGCGTGAGCTTTCTTTCTTAGCAGATTGTTGTAACCTGTCCTTCCACTCAGCTTACCACATTTCCTCCTAAGACATGTCCCACCTTTATGAACGGCCTTCCTTGTCCCATCCTCACCCAGAACACTATTTACTGGGCATGCTAAGGACATGAGACATAAAAGCCAGACGTCTGTGTTATGAATGTAGTAATTCAGAAACTGAAGATGGGCTCATTCGTCGCGAGGCACTGGGTGGGCTCATGACTTCTGAGAACCGGGCTGTCTGCGTGGGCTGTGACGTAAGTTCTCTGTACGTGGCCTGTGTGAAACATATCTACTCTACAGCCAACCTGAACTTTGATGTGAGCTCCATCCTCTATGGAACTCCGTGTTCTAGGCTATACAGCATATGGAAGGCAGCCTAAACAATGCCTCACAACACGTGACAGGAATACAGCTGAAACCATTGGTGTCTTGTAAGTAGCCATTTACTGCGAGGGTCAAGTTCCCTGTAATTACATCCATCAGACACTTGGGGAGAAGAAAGACCCATTGTCAAAGATCTGCTTAAAGCTAGGGAGAGAACTAGAGAAATCAGTTGATCTTTCATCTTTACCTGCTTTTACATGTTTTCTTACTTTGATCAGCCAATAAAACAGCCCATAGACTTTTTTGTATTTTTTCATTTTTTTGTTTTTATTATTATTATTATTATTATTATTATTTTATTTTATTTTTTTGCCAGAAACAGAGTGTATAGGGTTTATGGGACATAGTGTCGAGAAAGTCTGGAGAGCTTTGTAGAGAGATTCTGCCTGGGAGCTGGTGCTGAGAATTCAGTGTTTCTTTCTTTTTCTGCAGCACAGCGGTGTTAAGTCAGCCCGACAGCCCCCGATCTTTTCTTCAAAGATAAGGCAGTCAATTGCACAGTGACCATCCAGCTTTGAACAGAGATGCTGTCTGTAGAATGAGGCACTGCCTAGGAGTAGAGAGTGGCCGTTAGTTACCTACCAATCTACCAGGCCAAAAAGTAAATTCTTGATTACTAAATCTGGGGGGTGGGGAGGCCAGACTCCTGGTAAACCATACGCAATGCCCTCAGGCATCATTTGCAAAAGACGCGGGTCATCCCCCCTGTTCAAATCAGCCAGCTTACACCGAAAGAGAGTGTCTCTTCCTAGGAAGGTGGCAACTTTCCAACTCCAACAAACAAACCTTTCCAACACGATGTTTCTTCTTTGTATTTCTAGTAGTGTCTGACAGAGATCAAAATTTACAAAGCCGTGCACACCATTATAGGCAGATCGACAGTAAACCGTGCCCATTGTTGTAAGATCTTTAAGTTTCAGATGGAAAGTTAGCCAACAACACTCCCATTATTGCCACTGGCAGAAGGGAAAAGTAAGCCCAGAGTTCAGATAGTTTCCTGGGTACTGCCTTCTGCCGAGCATTGAACTCACCCCCACCTCACTGCCTTGGCAATAGTGGTCACAGTTTTCGCCACTGCCTCCCCTGCCCCCTGCTTGCTGGAATTCCAATATAAATAGGTTGAGTTCTGGGGCCGGTGAGCTTCTAAGTAAGTTTATGTGCTGATCTGGCCACAGAGAACTCCCAAGGTAGGAGGAGACGGAGAGGACAGATTGAATCACTCTACTATCTGCATCCATTGTCTGATCTCTATGCAAGAGGAAAGACAAGCTAGCTAGAAACCTAGCTTTGTAAGGGAGAGCTCCGCACAGGCCCTGTTCCCTGGATGCTCCTTGCTTGGTTCTAGGGCTGCCTCTTCCCAAAGGTTCATCCCTACTACCCAGGAGGCCTTTCTGCACCTCCTAGTTAGAACATGGCTTGCTCTGTTTCTAACACGGTTTCTCTATATTTTGCATTCTGGCTTTTAGGGGAATTGTTTTGTGCTAAATTCCATGTCTGTATTTCTTTCTCACTCATTTACTTATTTATCCATCATAAGTTTTGAATTCTCTCAGGGAATCTATATTTTATTAACAGAAATAACAGACCAATACGTTTCTAGAAAATTAAGGACAAAGGTTCAGCTTCAATTAAAATTTTCTGTTTGTTTTGTGTAAGTGAATGAATGCAGGTGGGGACAATGTCTCCCAAGTCGTAAGGACACATTGTCAGGATCTCTTGTCTAACTAGAGCTTCTGAGGATGACACACACCCCCAAGAGGATGAGACACTTGGGAGCTTATGAAGGAAGGATGGGAAACCTCAGAATACAGGTAGCAAGTTCCAAGGGTATCTGAGAGGACTAGCCAGAAGATCCAGTTGGTTGCGGGCTGTACTGAGCAAACAGATCTGTTTAAAGCACCCCGAGTCTCAAGTGCAAACAAGTCAGGATGGTAGGGATTTCAATGAGATCATTTTCTGTTTATTATCTATGAGATCCCAAAGAAAGTTTGGAATACTCTCAGGGCAAGGTATTTGAACCAACTACCGAGACATTGAAAATGTTGATGTTTTCCTTTTTAAAGCAGTTACTTTGTCATATGCTGAAGTGTGTTGAAGATTTGAAAACCAGGGATGGGATCTAAAAGAACGAAGAAGCCCAAATCCCCGTGTAGACTGACTAGGGAAGTGGACTGGGTGCTCTAGTTGCTAAGGATCTGAGACAGTGGATTGGATTCTTCTGTTTCTCAGCTCAGTGACTGGCTTAGCCTGAGATTATTGCAATCATAGAGATGAACAGTGAGGTTTCCCCGAAGTCAGCTTGCTTTTCCAAAGACAGATCCCGATTAAACTGCCAACACTACCTCTCCAAGGATTTTTCTCTTACCTGGGTGAAGCTGAACAAGAAGAACGAGCCCAGCAGCAACTAAGGAAAGGATTCTCATGTCTGTAAGCATCAGTGGAGAGGAAATGAAGGAGGTATGGTATAGAGCCTGGCTCCTTTATTGAGAGAGTAGATCCATTCTGCTGCTCAGAAATGGCCTTAAGAGAGAACTATTTTTCATGCTCCACTGAGTATCGTGTGGGCCAGCAGATCAGGTTTTCATCTAAGTCTTCTGTCAGAGACGAGGCAGAGAAAGAACCCTGCCTTCTTGCCTGGAATATTCTATTCCATTTCTTCTTAGGCTTTCCCCATTTCCCTTCGTGTTCCATTCCAAGTGGTCCCCATCTCCACAGAGCCTACAATCACGCTCTCTTTTCTATCTGTGCCTTAAAATTTTATGGAGAATGTACGCTTACAAGTTTTAACCACCAGTTGTTAGTTAGTTGATTGATACCTGGTAGAGTGGCTTTTAAAATTTGAGGTTAAGAGTAAATTTTAGCTATCCCAATAGATATTAAATTTCATAGAAGAAATCAGCTCAAATTTGATTGCTTTTCTCCGTTAGGTTCAACATCAGTGTTGTTTAATTTTCTAGTGGGAAGCTATCTGCTTAGGGGAATTCATGAATAAACAAGCAATTAGATGCAAGTTGTTGTTAAATCTTTCAAGCTTATGCATATGTAAGGCTTTGAAGATGGCATAATTCTTAAAATTGCTTCCATAACCTTTAGTGTTGGAAAAGCCGTGTGTATTTGTATTACACAGCTATGTGCTACCAACAGACCTTAATTTTGTCCGAAAGGCGAAGGAACCAGTGTAGTTTTGTGTAGTACAGTTATCTGGAAGGATAAAAACCAACATCCACAACAGAGCGAGCGCTTGACAGATCAATCTACGTAAATTAATTTCTGGGAAATGCGGAGCTGCTGAAAGGATGAGAAAGATGCAGTGAAGCCATCTTGGAGAAAAGAAAACGTCTAGTCAAGGAATGAAAGTACGAGGAGCTACCTGTGATGATTGAAGTGTTAACCCTGGCCCTCAGCGTGAGATATGATGGGTCCTTTAAAATTAGGGCTTCAGATCCTGCTGTGGTGGCCCATACGTGCCCTAGTGCTCAGGAAGTGGACTCAGGGAGTTTCCGGCCAACTTGGGTTCCGGAGTGAGTACCAGTCCAAGTGGACTGCATACTGGGACTCTTTTTCAACAAAAGTAAAACCAAAAAAAATGTGTACGTTAGTGTAAATTTATTAGGTTGCTGGGGACACTGTCCTTAGAAGGAGTTAGCATGGTTCTTATGGGGATACTGGCTGTTCCCAGGGAGTTTATTATGAAATAATAAAAATGCCCCCCCCATCCCCGCTCCTCCCAGGCTCCCTGTTTTCACGCAGCACAGGACGGGGGTCGGGGGGGTGCTCCGCTTCCGGGATGCCATCACCACGATCTGACACAGCGTGGGAGACCTTCTCTACAGTCAAATGTATGAGGTCATCTGACCTTGGACTTTAGCCTGGGAGTGAAATAAACTTTTCTTTATAAAGTAACTGAACTCAGTTGGTGTGCGACAGCAAAAGAAAAGGAGACTGACCTACAGGTTCTCTGCTCTGCGTTCAGCCACACCTACTCTCAGGTGGTGACCCTGTTCCGTGCTTTACGAGAGACTGAGTAGAAAGTATTCGTTGCTGTTTTAATTTTTATCATCTTAAAATGAAAAGAAAGCGCAGAAACAAAAGTGAGGTTGGAGGGACACTGAACCGCATTCACTGGGGCCCCGTGAAGCCACAGAACTTCTGGCTTTGGACATTCATTCAGTACGAGTAGACGGTCCGAAGTGCGATGGCTGGTGTGTTCAGGTCCTCTCCCGACAGCAGAAGAAGTTCAGCTTGCACCTTCCTGCAATCTTCTCATTCTCCAAGCACACCGTCCTGCATTTCCCCCGGCCGAGCCTGCAGGTCTCGCACACCGCAAATTCACCTGTGCCAGGAAAGAGCCGCTGAGATAGATGTTCGCTGGAACTTGTTGGGAATGGGAAGTATCTTAGGCCACGTAAACACGTGTAGGGTTCGCACGTACAGTTACGTAGAGCATTTTCTACAATTAACCCAGAGGCTTTGAGGAGTGGCACAATAGGTCAAGTGTTTATTGGATGCTTATGAGGACCTGAATCTCATCCTGGACTGGATCCGAGCTGGGGAGGCAGAAACAGTTGAATCTTGGAAACTCAGTAGTCAGCTTGAGTTTCAAAACTCAAGGTATGGATGGCTCATGGGGAATGACATCTAAGTTCCACCTTTGGCCTCCACACGTATATGAACACCACACACAGACACACATATACACGTGTGCGTGTACACACACACACACACACACACACACACACACACCTTATATAAGAAAAGCACTACTCCATAGCTTCTGTTTACCATGGTATAGAGCTAAGAAGAGTTAAAAACAAGAGAAAAACCATCATCCATCCAGGTGTTTATTGTCTTTCATTATTCCAATATAAGTGACAGAATAATATCTATTTTTCAGAACTATTAAATGTGCATCTGATACTACTGAAAAATTACTCGTGGAAAGGCAAGGAATAGATTAGGGTTTCAAATCCTTGAAGCTGGAATGAAGGATTTTAGTCTCAATTCTCGCGTGGGTCTAGTAATGGCTGTGTATTTTCAATAAATTTATTAATTTACGTAGCCTTATTCAGCTTAGGGACATAGCAGAAATACCTGTGCACATTTTAAATTTGCTTTGTGGCCAAACAAATTAACTGTGTGATAATGTTTCTGCTGAAGAGTATTTACTTGTAAGGGTGCTTTAATGATTAAATGGCACAATTGATGTGTGTTTATTAAGACCTGGAGAAGTTGGTAGTCTAAGACTTCCATATTTCTCACTCTGGAATATTATCTGAATATATTCAATAAATTATTATTATTATTATTACTATTATTATTGTGTGTGTTTATAGAGAGGGAGTTATGCGTTTGGTACACATGCACATGTATGTACAGGTACATGTACCCATGTGTGTGCACATATAGAAGCAAGAAGAAGGCATTGAGTATCCCCTCACTTCTATCACTCTCAGCCTTGAAGCAGGGTCTCCCTTTGAATCTTAGCCATTTTTTTCTAGCTGGACTGGCAGATAAAAAGGTTCCACTGACTCCTAGCTCTGTTTCCATGGTGCTGGGGTTACAGGTTCAAGCAAGGCTGTGTGGGGGTACTGGAATCCAATTTGGGGTCCTCATAGTTACACAGCAAGCACTCCTAACCCGTGAGCTATTCCCCCGGCCTTCCAAGACTATTTCAATATTTATTTAGTGTTTACATTTTGCTGTCTTCCCATGTAAGAGAATCTCCCGTGCACACCCAAAGCTCGTGACTAACCATTATGAGCAGCTTTTTCTATAATAAAGATGACGTATTAGAAAACCATTCCACTTGATCCTCCTTACTCCAGCCACATACAACTGTGCAGACCTCATTCAATTTAGGTTGTAAGATAAGGGAAGCCGTGATCTCTAGGTAGTGCCAATTGGTGTGGATGAGATTGAACCTAAGCACCGCAAATTAATGGGAAAGTCAATGGAAGAATACAAATAGGATCATGGACACAAGAAGAAGAGAAGATGGAGCCAAGGAGCCAGAACTCAGTCCATACACAACTACCTCCCATCCTTGGCTTCATCAGTCAAAGATAGCCAACTAGGCCTACATCTCCAAGAGAAAATGAGAAAGTATGGGTAAGGAATATAATTTACCTCCTGGAAATGACTGGGAATACTCAAGTCCTGCCCAGGACCCTAAATTTAAAACAAAATACATTTTAGGAAAGAATATTAAAGCAAGAAAATGACATTCTATAAAACTTCTCCTGCATGTGGCATGGCCCATGGGGGACTACCGATGTGACGGCTTCCATCTTTATTTGATTCTCAAGACCAGCACTCCTGAGCCAGGAAGATCAATGTACAAAACAAGAACAAAACGAAAATTAAAGCTCTATTCAGGGGGCTCTTAGGATACGTTAGTACAGCTCCAAGGAATCTTTGGGGGAGAGATTTACTCTCAATTTCAGGGTGATACATGGAAGACCCATTGGGTTTCATGATCTGCCCCCATCACCCCATCAAGGCCCCATCGGCTTTTCTTTACCTGACGGCAGTAGGACTACACTGAAGAACAAAGCACACACAAAAGAAAACATCTCTCTGTTCAGGCCGTGTTTGAGGGAAGATTCTTCAGAACACAGGGTCAGGATTTCTTTGAGGGAACAAGAAAGCATTTATATTTGAAAGTAATAGGTTCTGTTCTTGGTCAGTGATGTGGATCAATAAAGAAAGCACAATTGCATGCTCCATTTGCCGAGATCAAGAACTGGAGCAGTGGGTTATAACCTTGGAGCCTGCAAAGCCTTATTCTCCAACACCTGACCAGCCTGTAGAGTGGAGTGGGTATTTGTTCAAGTTCAGTAGAACACAGGGTAAAATGCACACCTCTACTGCGGGAATCTAGGGTAGAGGATCTCGATGGTTCTTCGTATCTTCCTAAGATCCAAAGCGCATGTATTGCCTTTGCAGCGTGTCCTGGGGATCTGGTATGACCTCAACACAGAAGTACTTTGAATGCTCATGCTTCCAGAGATCTTGTGGGGACTGGGAGGCAAACCACAGACGTGCACTCTTCTCCTCCTCTTTCTCATGGACGGATTTGGAAATGTTTCAGGAGAATGTGAGGGTGACAGCCCTTTTGCTGAGTTTGCTTCGAATCCCGTGCCTGTCAGACCTCACATCGCAGGCCAGTCATAACCATAGTGATCTTTAACAATGAAAAACATGGGTATCAAAAAGAATAATCATGTCACTAATGTGGGTCCTCTGAACTGTGTTCTGCGTATTGCACCCTGAAGTTTATAGTTACATGATGTTTCTGATCTTCAGTCTTGGAGGCAGAGGTAGCTCTCCTAAACTAGCTACTCCAGAGACTTAGGCAGGATCATCATGAGCTAATACACTGCCTGGGATATTCAGTGAATTCAGTGAGCTCAAGACCATAAAATACTTAAAAAGAGGGCTGTAGTGTTTGTCTAGCATACACAAAACCTTATACTCAATTCTCCGGGCTCCCCTCTCTCTCCCTTTACACACACACACACACACACACACACACACACACACACACACACATGCATTCACGCACACACAGAGGCACACACATGAAGAATGCAGACTATATAGCTAGAAAGACACCTATCAAGTAGACCACCTTTCATAGGTGATAATTTTTCAAACCTCAGTCTCCTTATTCTTATTTATTTATTATGTATACAATATTCTGTCTGCATGTATGCCTGAAGGCCAGAAGAGGGCACCAGACCTCATTATAGATGGTTGTGAGCCACCATGTGGTTGCTGGCAATTGAACTCAGGACCTATGGAAGAGCGTGCAATGCTTTTAACCGCTGAGCCACCTCTCCAGCCCCATAGTCTCCTTATTCTTAAAGTTGGGTTAAAATTATGAGATATATCTCATGGGACATTTGAAAAACATTGTATGTAACATAGAAGTGTTTAACAGAATGTGTGATTATTATTATTATTATTACTATTGCATTTATATTTCTATATAACTTTGAACAACTATTCTGCTAAATGAGCAGAGTAATAAGGCACCTAAAGACATATTACTCATATACATATTATTACATATCAAGGTATATTACATATACTGAGATCAGGGCATCCCTCAACCCTAGCCAGAGAATCTTGCATTATATGGTAATGAACATAGACCTCCACAACTGGACAATGTGCGGAGAGCAAAAGACTTTGGTTGGAATGTCAGCCATTAGTGGGCTTCTTATCACACTCCTCCACTCAAGGCTCAGAGATCTGTGTGGAAGAGGAGGTAGAAAGACCATAAGCACTTGCAGTAGTGGACAACTTCAAGGGAACTCCTTCGACACTGATGCACATAAGAGCTCACGGAGACTGTGAAAGTGTGCACAAGACCAGTGCTAGTTTAACAGATAAAGCTCCAGCACACTGCAGAGGAAGTGGGCACCAGACTCAGTCCCAGACAAGAAGCTCTTTGTGTGTAGTTGATAGCCCTGGAAGAGGGAGAATCAGTTTTTGTCACTGGAGTGATGCTGGATGTATCAACCACACTCCAGGACATGCCTTATGCTTAGGGTAGTTGGCCAACACAAATCAGACAACACGAAGTTGGGTGGGTAGTGAGGAAGATCTGGGAGGAGTTATGGGACAGGAAAGAATATGATCAAAATATATTGTGCAAAATTTGAGAGAAAAAAGAACAAATACAAACAAAACAAGAAACCCTCAGCTAAAGTAAGATGAGCAACACTTGAAATGGGCCACATATGGCAAAGTCCAGAATTTAAAAACAAACAATGGTGTGCATGCTTAGGTCAAGTTCTTAGCCCAGCGTGCACAGTTCGCAAAGATTGAATCTGGAGTTCAGAGTCCACCTGACCACAGAGCACCAGTTCTTACCTGTCATGTGCTTATACTCCCACTACACCTGAGAGCTGACGTTATTAAGGAACACAGCCAGGATTGGAAGTAAAATGACTGGACTCCAGATTCTTCTCCCACGACTTCTGCACTCAACTCAGCCCTCTGCGCCCACCTCTGTTCTCCTCTCATGCCTATTTTCCTTCTTGGGAACTTTCCAGAACCAGAAAAGCAACAGCTGTAGGTTGAGGGACACCCACTGCCTCAGGTAGGCTCCGTGGAGCACGGCTTGGGTTCACTCATTCTGTTAAGCTTCACTGATCAAGACTCTTTTAGTCTGGAGAAATGTATAAAGGTGGGTGTTGCTGGCCTTTCCCACGGACACTGCGCTGACCCCTCACGGTCCTCCAGGTCATGAAGACATCCTTCTTTCTCTTTGTTCTTCTCTTCTTTCTGGACTCAGGTAAAGAAAACGAACATCTTTATATGGAGGGTGATCTAAGGTGCTGGCCCAGACACAAAATCTATCCTGCAAATGTCCAGGTGTGATCAATCCTAGGATGGAAGGATGCCTTTGGTCTGTTGCCTTGAAAGAGAACAGTTGCTGCAGAAGGTAAACTTTCCTACAATGAGTCACCTATTTATCAATAATCATGTACTCATACATTGCATTTTCCATTAGTATCTACGAGAAGTTGTCATAGGTTTGAATAAGTTATAGTACATGAAGAAAGATACTTTTTGATGCCTGGGTTTATGCTTACTAACAAAAATAATGAACAAAAATTAAAGGGGTAAGTAAAATGAAAAAAAAAAACCCCAGATTTTTCAAACATGTTTTAAACATAGAATAAAACAGGCCATAAAAAGATAGAAAAAGAAAGGCGTGGAAGAAGAAAGTAATGGAGCTACATATTCATGTCCTTCATGGCATCAGGCAAAAGACCACACTGGAGATGGCCATTTGTTTACTGCTAATCTAAGGATGGATGCTCTATTGTAGACTCTTGATAATGAAATGCAGTAAGTTCTCCGAAACCAGTGCCTTTAAGAAAATTTCTGTTCTACTTTTAATTTAATGATACTCAGGTTTTTCTCTTTTGGTTTGAAATATTTACCCTACACACACACACACACACACACACACACACACACACACACACACGCACACACGCGCACACGCGCACACACACACGTTCATGCAGACAGAGACGCAGATGGGTGAAGGTTCATTTCAGGGACATACAGGTAAGAATTGGTACTCTGTGTTACACGGTGAGAGCTGCGTGGGCTATCCTTCCCATATAAGGGCTCTCTATGCCTCTTACACTTCTGGCAACTTTGAAAAGATGCAGCTGTATCCTCTTCAAAATTAAGGCACAGGGATGCTTCCTAATTTCAGGGAGCTGAATGAAGGGACATTTGGGAGCCAACGTGAATTTAACTTTACTCCAGGTTCTAGTGATGTATCAGCCCGTATGTGTTGCTCACCATTTTGTGTGTGCCCCTGGTCTGTGTTGTGACAAGTTTATATGAATGGGTTTTGCATCAGGATCTGGAGATCTAGACCTTCAGTGAATGAATGGTTTATCCTGCATCCTCCTGGCACTGATGTGAACATTGGGAGCTGATTAGAGGTATTACGACCATTCATATGTACTACAGAGTTAGTTAACACATTGCAAAAGTATCCACTGGAAAATTATCTATCATACCAAATGCACCACATGTGCAGAGACTCCATTTGAAACCACTAGAAAGCTATCAGCAAAGATGTTCTTTTGTTCCAAAAGCTGATGGTTCATTACTGTGAATTGGATGTCCTACAAAGACTCGAAGAAGAAGAAGGTCCTGAACTTGTAGTCTAACATAGCCTTACTATATTAGGAGAGCAGAGAAGTCTTGAATATTGCAGTGAAAGCCAGAGTTCAAGGGGCTTTGAAACATGGACCGCTTATACTTGCGAACTGATATTCTCATAGTAGTTAGTGGCTAGTACAGCTGAGGGTCGTCACCCCTGGATTATATGTTTTGCATAAATTTAAATTAGCAACTTCATGCATTCATATCAAATGGAATATCGATACATTGGACACCTCCACTGCATGTACTGCAAGTCAGCAACTCTTGAGATTTTGATCCTGGTAAGATGGATTATCTATCCTTAACACGCAGTGGTCTGCTTTTGTGAATGCTGCGGACAAGGTGCTAATGCAAGAACTGGAATTTCATAAAAAATAATTAGTAAGATAATGAGTAAGAGTCACAGCGAGCTTGTCTCAACTACCCCCACCTCCCCTAGAGTGTCTGACTTTCACAGTGGCATCCTGGAATGTGGTAGAGAAATCAGATGTCTCTCTCTACTTGGGAATTGTGATGGCCCATTAGAAACCCATGGACAGAGATGTTCTTTGGCTTCAATCTGCCTGGGCCACCATTGTGAATTGGATAGTCTACAGGCTCTTTATTTTCTGACTACTCCATTAAACTTTTGTTCTATGTATACAGCTACGCCTTTTAATACTAGTCTTGAGCCATCTCTCCCTTCTCGGGTCTTGCTTTCAAACCTTACAGAGTAGCAGTCTTTGAAAGTATCTTAGGGAAGTTCCTAGCTGTGAAAGTATTTATGAGCTGAGTCGATATTCTTTTTCCCTTCAGATTTGTATAAAGGGATGTCTTCCAAAGTCCTAATCCAAACTCTCCAAGTATTACCTAGTTCTTTCTGATCTTTTACCTTGTGTGACAGAAGACAGAGATGCCACACAGAAAATGCCCGTGCTAGTAACTCACCCACTAGAGACTAGCACCTGTAAAGAGACTGTTGCTGACGTTCTACACCAATCACAAGTAATAATTAGCCACATTTGAAAGAAGAATTAACCTGAGTGGGGGTATTTCTTCTTTTTGTAGCCAAGAATGCTTTCTTCGATGAGAAATGCAGCAAGCTTAACGGGAGATGCACTGGTTACTGTCTGAAAAATGAAGAACTTACTTCTCTCTGTCGGAAGTCTCTGAAGTGCTGTGTGACAGTCCAGCCATGCGAAAGGAGCAAAGGCAACGATTCAGCTACATAGAGATTCAGAGATGACCTAGCTGTGTCTTTTTGCTGTGGCATCAGTTGGAAGCAGATATGCCAATGAAAATAAACAGCTGTTTTTCTTCAACTTGTCAACTCCTTCTTTCAGACGGCCAAGAGTGACTATCTAAATTTTATGGTCCCTCTATTCTTATTTATTGTTCTATGCTTTTGGGGTGAGGCAATTGTTCCAGAGAGGTAATTGAACAGCCAAGAACCATGTAGAAACAGAGATAGCACACAGAAAAAAGTAAGAAGCAGTCCACTTCTCCGATGCCAGCTATTTTTTTTTAATAGTTATCAGAAGTATAGTGTTTGGCTTTAGTTCACTATGATTGTGTTTTTATATCTAGTTTGTTTTGATGTTTTTGCTATTACGGTGGTTTGTTTTCACTAAGGTGATACTAGGGATTAAGCCCTCAAGAGAAGACCATTCACTAACATGACCATCAACAAACTTGATTCCCCTTCCAACAATACACAAATCACAAGGTAGAAACATGAGAAATATGAAAAAGCAAGGAAGCACAATTCTTCTAAAAGCTCACAACTCTGAAGTGGTTAAATTCAAACATTGGAATGGTAGAAATGGCAAAGAATTCAAATTTACTTTTGAAAACAATTGATAAATTCATTTCCAATTAAAATAAACAGAAAGATGAAGAAAAAGGGAAATTCATAATCTGGAGTTGGATATCAACAACCAGGTGAGAAATTCGTTAGAGATAAAGAGATTTTGACAAAGCAACAAAACAACATAGAAATGAAAAATCAATGAATCAAACAAAAAGTTCAGTACAAAACATTACCAAGGATACCACAATGGAAGGCAAGGTTGAAGAATTACTACATTTAGGTAACAATAAAAATTCATGACTGAAACATTCAAAAACCATGGAAAACTATTAAGAGATTGCACCCATGAATCTGTGGTAGAGAAAAGAGGATCCAACAATTGGCTAAAAGCACATACACTTAGTCAATAAAATTATAGAAGATAATATCCTAAGTCTGGGGAAAGAAATGATATTTGAGGATATGAGTCTTTCAGAGTGCAAATAGTAATTGTAGCTGTCTAGAACGAGCTACAATATACAACAAACCCACGTGGGAGTTTATTGATAGGGAGATGAAAGGAGAGGGGATTGTGACAGTCAACTGGGAGAGGGGGATTAAGAGAGTAAGGGGCAGGCGGAACTTGCTTGTGAGGGACCTTTTGTGCAAACATGCCTACAGAGCATTACACAGCTAGGTAATGCATGACAGAGCCACACAACGCATGACGTGGCCACCCAGCGCATGCCTTGGCCATGCAGTGTATGATATAGTGACGTACAGCATAAGGCCCCTGGGCTGACTAAGTATTGCCTGTGAACTCACCTGCCGGTTGACAGGGGGTAGGCCAGCATAATGCCTGTGTCCTAACAGTAGTGACCAGAAACAAACCTATCCACATTGTGTCATAGTTAAAATTCAGGACTAGAACAAATAGAGAATACTGAACATTGTGAGAGAGAAGCGCCCAGATTCTTACAAAGGTAGGGTAACAATAAATAATAGCAGGAACAGCATAGGCTGGGAGAGCAGGAAATGACTTAGCTCAAGCCCTGAAACAACAGAACTGCCCACAAAAATCTTGCTATCTTGCAAGGTTAAACTGTAAAAGTCAAAGGATACATGAAGACCTTCCACAATAAACATATATAAAAGCAATTCATAGCCATCAAGCCAGCATGACAGGAGACACTAAAGGGGCCTTTTTTTGTGTGTGTGCCTCATACAGACTATGTAGTGAGGTAGCAGCCATACAACCCTGGGGTGGCTAGGGTACTGCCTGAGTGCATACTGTCAGGCAACAGGAGGTAGACCAGCATAATGCCCGAATCCTAATATTCCTACCTTTGCTTATTATAAAAATGTGGGGAAATTAAAGGGGCCAAAGGTGGGACAGGGATGGAGGCACTGGGCTTTCAACACTGCTTCCTGCTGATTTGTGGGCATTGAAATCTTGTGGGGAGAGGAGACCTGAGAAAACTGAGGAGCTGGCCATGTCCTGGAGTAGCTGCTTGCCGCACTTCTGTCCAGGCTCTGTGGAACTGACTGATGCCTTTTGGACTTGGTGAGGAGATGGCAGAGCAGAGGACAAGGCTAAGTTTAGGAAAAATAAATTTTCTTAGGTCTTGGTAATTGAGGGAGGAGGATGTCAAGACCAGGGAAAGGTGGGGTGGCTTAGGCTGTTGATTGTCTGTACTTAATCGGAATGTTTCTGTCCTATTTGAGGTGAATCCAAGTGAACTTTCAGGAACTTACAAGATCTCTTCGAGTTTGTGAAAAGATAGGTTTAGACAGATCAGCATTTTCACTGTTTCTAATCTGCACTGAAATTTACATTGTAGAAAAGGCAGTGTACTCATGCTGGAAATTATTTTGGTTGAAACATTAAACTTCTTCTATCCAAAAACTAGCACAATGTTTCTAGCACAATGAAAAACACCCCCTTAAGTCTATAGATAGGAAAGAACCAAATGGAATTTGAAATCTTAAGCTTGTAGCCGTGATGATGGTGGTAGTACTCTGTCAGAGCAAGATCAATAGCTTATCAGAATTTTGTTGATTAATGTTAAGACTATGAACTTCTCATGTCTTAATACAGTAGCGTAATGAGAGAGAGAGAATCTAAACATGTTTCATTCTTTTAAATGGCTCGGATCCCTTGCCTTTATCTTCACTTAAGCTCTTGTAATCTTAGGCCTTTCTAACTTGCTTTTACACACCTTAATAACTTGCATTTGTATAACTTAATAACTCCTAAGAATGTCTTCTTTTACTCTATGTCTTGGTGTGTGGTCACCAAGGAATGCTGGCCTGGGATGTCTTCAGTAACCTGAAGACACACTGTAAGTCCAGCTCCTCCCCATGCTGGGGGAGATCCTCCACCTGCCCATAGGTCCAGCTCCTCCCCATGCTGGGGGAGATCCTCCACCCGCTTCTGGTTCCCTCTAGCACCCCTGGCATTATTGTTCTGTACTGTTCTGTCTCTTTTACTTCCTCCAACTAAGAAAAGGACTCTCAGCCATAAACTCATGCAGTTGAAGAAGACGGAAGTTGGAGGAACAACTGAATAAAGTAAATCCTGGGAGCTTAAGCAAGCTACTTCAACCATAGCATTTACCTCTTCATTTTCACTGAGTAAGTTATGGGACATTGTAAACCATAGCCCGCCTGCCTACCTCCCGTAAGGAAGCTTAGATTAAGGAGGAAATGAGAGAAAACTAAACAAGGTAGAAGTGAGAATTCCTCGACATCGTAGGCAGTCTCAGCTTAGGTATTGTTCTTGGGATTTTAGGTGATGAGACTCAACTGTTCTCCACTGTGGGGCAGCCCAGGTAGAGCTGACATGTGGAAATGAGATGCCCTCTCACATCTGTGGCCTTCTGGCTGCTTTGCTCTGTCCCTTAAGCTTGACCCTCCCTTGTATCATGTCAGAATGTCAAGATTAAGAGGACCACATTGTGTTGGTTAGAAGAAGGACTTTATTGATAACAAAAAAAGTAGGTACTGCTTAGACCCACTGAGGAAAATCTTGAGTGAGGGTCAGATGTCAGTAATCTCTGGCTCCTGTGCTAATGTGTGCATTTGATTGTCCCATAAGTGCCCTTTAAAGACTTTATATCTTTGAAGTGGGATTATATCTCCTAACATCCAATGTCTACATTAATATCAGTGAATTCTTGCTATCTGCGCCACACAGAATTACAGTCACATCATCTTGGTTTTAGCAGGAAAGGAACATAACCGGTAGGAAACAATACTGCGCTCTCAAGGTCTTATATACACAACCAGAAACCCACCACCTCACCACTGTCTTCTCTCCGAAAACACAGATCTGCAGCTTTTACACATGACCCCCAGTGAAAGTCAACATGAAGAAGAATTGAGAGAGACCTTGAAACACACAGCTCTAAATGAGATGTCTCAATCAAATCCTTTCCCTTAGAACTCAGGGAACCCTGTGGAAGAGGAGAACACCCGGAGAAGAAGGCCCTGTAAAACAGCTGAACAAAGCCCACATGTGTAAAGTTTTTCCGGCTTGCTAAGCCTCTCCACCAAAGAAATAATCCAAATCAGGCCAAATCAAACTGAATTAGAGAAGGCCCAGGTTTCATGGATGCCAGTGCTCCTGGGAGGCCCTCCAGGAAAACACGGAGAGGGGGAAGGAGAACCAAAGAGACCACGTGTTCCTTCTCTGGGAGGGCAGTTTAAATAGCCTGTGGGAGTGGTCTTGACCCTCTCTGGGGAGGGGTCGCTATTTGGCGGGCTTTCTCAGGGGTGGAGTTTGGACTGAGGCAACTCCCAGAGGAGGGGGCTTGAAATGGAACTTTCCACTCAAACATTCCAAAATGAATGTCAGGGGCTAGGGTGATGCTTCCAACCAAACATTCCAGACATTTTTGGATAAGGATGTTTGGGGCTGAGGTGACACTTTCAACCAAACAATATGAACTCACAAAGATTAAAGCAGTGATCACGGGGCTTCCACGAGTCTGCACCAGGGCCTCTGCATATATACCACAACTTTCAGTTTACTGTTTTTCTGGGGCTGCTGAATCTGTGAACAAGTGGGTCTCTGATCCTTGTGCCTTCTCTTGGGGTTCTTTTTTATCTTTCTCTTTGCTTGGATTGTTCAACTTGATATCATGGCTTTTGTTTTATCTTAATATATTTTATTTTGTTAAAATCTTGAATTGTGTCCCCCAAATAAAGCAGATCCCCAAATGATTAACACCATAGAAGGAGGAGGAGGAGCAGAATTGAGTCCATATGCTTTTCAGTTTAAACTTTATATATGGGGGAGGAGAGAGGGAGGGGAGGAGAAAATGATGAAAAAGAGAAATTGAAGATTGGCAGAAGAAACATAGGTGATCAGATTCATCACCCAGGCCCTTAGTGGAAAATACCAGCAAGCAAAGGGTAAGATTTAGAACACTGGCTGCTCAGCTTTTTTGCCTCCTGTGACAGATTTAATGTGTGTCCCCAGAGGTTCATGTGTTCACGTGTTTGGATATTTGGTTTCCAGTTGGTGGAAAATCCTTCAGGGAGCAGAGGTGCCTAGAGGAAGCAGTCAGTCAGGCTAGGCCCTTAGTCTTTTTCTGCTGTTAGTCCTTTGAGATGCTAGAAGTTCCAGCCTCGTGCTTCCTCTGCCATGAGTTTTTCACATCTTGCCCATCATGCCGGAATGCACCCTCCCTTACTGTGAGTCACAACAATTCTTGCTTCCTTAAGTTGTTTCTCAGCAGGCATTTGGTGACAGCCACAGAAAGGTCCCAGATATGCCTCATCCCACTGATAAATACTGAAAACTATGAATGTGAGCATTAGCCTAGCTTGGGCCCAAAACTTTGTCTTGAGTTAGATTCAGATGAGGGGGGCAAATGCTCACATAGGATGCTCTTGCTCTTCAGCTTTAATAACAAGGTACTAACAAAACTCAGCACACATTGGATGATATTGCTGAGAAGCCTGCTCTTTTCTGAAGGGAAGAGGAGGAGCAGTCATCTGGGGGAGAGGGAAGGTGGTGGGGATACCTGGAAGGAGTGGAGGAAGGGTAGGCTGTGGTAGGCATGTGTTGTACAAAAGAAGAATAGAAAAGATGAAAAGCAGATGTAAAAATCAACGTACATGCTGTGTATGTTTTTGTCATTACAGGATGCTACTTTGGGCCGGGTGTATAATGTTATTGTGTGCCAATTAGCACTTCTCTCTCTTTCAGCATTCATTGTTTTGGGATGTTGCGAAGGTTAGAGCTTTTCTCTGCTAGCTCTTCTTAAAACACATGATTAAGTTTTGTAAACTTAAACTTATATACAGCAGTCACCTTACTATATTGTCAAACACCAGAGCTCGTTCCTTGCACCTAGCTGGTATTTGGGTATCTGTTATCCCGCCCCCTCCACTATCCTTCCTCTTCCCAGTCTCCCCACTTCCATGAAGTCCTGCACTCTTCTAAATGAACTTTCCTCCTCTCTATATAACATTACCTAGGAAGTCCACTGAGTTATCCTGGTGGGCATGCCCAGTTTCACTTTTCTTTCCCATGAAGAGATGAGTATTTTCAATTGTAGAAATAAACTAAGATTTTTTTCCCTATTAAAACAACATGTGTGTGCAAGCGAGACACATTTGCAAAGTGTTACTCTCGTGACCCTTCCCAGGAGTTGATGGTGTTGTACGAAGCTCTGTCCGACAAGCAGAGTTGGAGTCTCTCACTCTATCAATGCCAACAATACGCTCTGACCTGGGAACTACCACTGCGTCATACGTCCATTTTGGAGGCTGGCCACTTTTCCGTTTTCACTTGCTTTGTAGACCCCACTCTCCCAACCATAACTGTGATTTCTCTTTAAACAATTTTGTATCACCATAAATTAAACTGGCTCCTGATCCAGAGTCGACTAAGATTTGAGTTGGGGTGGTTGACCCACTTCCCAACAGATTATGAATTTATGTGGGGGTAAAATATTCATGGGTCCCCCTCCCATTCCGAGAGCAAATCATAAAGCAGAACAGGAGTCATTGGAGCCATGGGGACCCGAGGGGCAGTCCCACCCAGAAGATGCTCTGCCTGGGATTCTCCTGGTCACACCCTCCAGCTGAGAGCTTTGATGCCCGGGGCGTTCCCAGGCAGTTTCTGCTGGATGGTGTGTAGGTGTCTATACCAATGCCCTATCGTCTTTCTGTTGCTTACTTTTTGTCCATTTATTCTGCTTGTTTTATACTTAATAACCCCACCATTCAAAACCGAAAACACCGCTTCCATGCAAAATACACTGGGCATTTTATGAGTAAAATAACTCTTGACCTATGGTACTTGGGTTTAGTCCGGATCCTGTTTCCTGGGCTATGCATGCTTGAGGGAAGGTAACGAGATGAAGGCACCTGCCTGGTGAAGAGGATGGAGCAGAAAAGGGAGGAGAGCCTCCTGTGTGGTTATCACTGCGAGAGAAAACCTGGGCTCAACTGTAAGACGTTTTCCTGCAAAACTGAGTTGGATCTAACAGCATCACCAGGAGGTGCCAAGGAGTAAAATGATGAAGGAGAAAGGGAAAATGAAGATGATTCAGGTAACTTAAAATGAAAAGTGAGATAGTAAAGGAGATGAAGGGCAAGGTCGGAGTAAAGAAACAGGGAAAGAGACTGAACAAGAGGAAGAAAGAGCAGCCATGAAAATCTTCACAGCTGTGACTGCCTGGAACCCTTGCTAGCTGGGATGTCTTAAGTTTTCATGTACAATATTTTCCATTAAAACAACGTGTTGTACAGACAACATAGAATCATCTTGGTAGCCTTACGCTAATCACTGTTTTGATGCCTTTGGGGAGGGGCACTGAAAAGTAATCAGGGAAATGGTGATTTATATGCTAATAACGCTTATTTTTCCTCTCCGTGCCTCCCATTTTCATCTAATTTCCTAGATTCTTATTCATCAAGCTCACCCAAAGCATTCAGGCATATTATTTACTTCCTGAAAAAAACCCACATAACTCAAAAGTTTGTTCTGGGACCGGTGTGGGAACTGACACGTCTTCTGGTGACCTTTGTGGCTGTGTGCTCTGTCTGGAGGCCCCCAGCCCAGTTTCCCAGCACAGCTGTTAGAGACCCTGCAGCTGCTGCCCATCCACCTCGGGTCCTGCTCTGCTGGCAGTCCCCTCTACAGCCATGAAACAGAGAGCCCTTCCTTTCTTTGTCGGCCTTCTTGTGGCCCTGCTGTTTCCAGGAAAGGCAGAAAGGTGGCTTAGTCCCGGGGGTCAGGCTCTTTCGGCAATTGTCACTGTGGGTTTGGAAGTATGGGGTGGGTCAGAAGGCATCAAAGTCCTAGAGCCCAGAGCCCATTTTCTCAATGAAGCTTTTGGGGAGAAGTCAATGTGGTGGGGTCTCAGATGAGCTAGTGGTATTAGCTATCCAAGAGAAAGAATTCCTCCTCGCTATCTCATGTTACACAGTGGACACCGAGTTTTAAATTTAGGGACTCGCGGCAGGCGCATTCAGGATGTCCAAGGCAAACGTGGAGCCTTTGTAGCTGAGGTACTCAGACCCCCTGTTTTTGGCACATTTTCCTCCATGCCACTCTTTTTCCTTTATTGCCCCACATATGTGAATAACAAATACATACATAAAGAATACATGTAACCCTCACGGTTCATTCCAGCCTCTTGCTAACCCCCACTCACCGTTAAAACATGCTCCATCCTCTTGGGTTGTTGAACAGAGTTCTGAACATCCTTAATTTCAACAGGGTTGTCCAGTGCCCTCTCTGTTAACCACTTAGCCATGGAACCTCCCAATTTCTCCAAGCAAGAATTTCCTGGACAAGGAACAAATGGGTCTTGGTTGTTGCATCACAGAGTGAGTCGCTTACCTCCGCACATTCCGCTTTACCCTGGGAAGTCAGACACCAAAGAACAAGGCAAGTTAATTCACTCAGGAGCTATTGAGTGAGCATGATGGGAGGGGACTGCGTGGAGGGGATGAGGTGAGCATCATTGTTTGGGGAGACATGGCAAGTCTTCCCTAGATGTCAAAAAAGTTGAGGGAGCTTGCAGCCTCTGCTGATACTGGATCATTGAGGGTCTCAGGAAACTCAGGAGCCTGGGGCGGGGAGGGGAGGCAGGAAGAGGTGAATTTTCTGAGTTCACCATGGTAATCTCTTACCTTATTCAAATGTTAACCAGAGGAGGTGAGTCTCCTCCAACCAGGTATCTTCTTCCCCCAGTCTTGGGGGCCATTTACTCAACAGGACTTCATTGAATCCTTGCAAAGTTCTGGGTGGTGGATGAAGTTCTGACAGGGTTTCCTGAGGAAGCAGGTAGAGGACAGACTGTGCTGTCTGCCAACTCCAGCGGGGACAGATACAAGGGATTGGCAAGCACCACAAGCTCCAGCATTCCTGGGGACTCTTCTGTCAGGTCCAGGTTTCTTCTCTGTCCTGAGACCGTAGCCCAGAGCCAGTTTCAAACTCACAACGCCTGAAAGAGTTGGTAGTTCCTGAAATGCTCTTAATCTGAGTCATTTCTGATCCTGAGACAAGGGAAGCATGATCCAGAGCTGGGTCAGTGGACATGGGGCACAGGTGAGGGCGGGAAAATTCCTGGTGATATGCGATAGTTACAGTCCCACCGACTCTGCCTCCCGCTTTATCCCTACCATGATCTTTGTTCCGCTGGAATTCACCTCCTGTTCCAAAAGACTGAAGAAGAGAAAAAGAGAATGCAGTTGCTGCAGCACTAATATAAACAGGCCCAACGGGGGCACAGGCTGCTCTGCCTGCTTGTGCGATGAGGTGATGTCACGTGCACATGTGCTTTAGGTACCACTCCATTCTGATAATATAGGAACTTAGGAGACATTGAAGGAACAGAGAGCTGTGTGTCTGGACTTGTGTTCACGGTTTAGAATGTGAAATTATGAATGATACAAGCCATTTCATATCTATTGCCATCCCCCACGTCATAGCCTGGCCTTTGGAAAGAGTCACTGACTGACTATTGGCATAGTCTGATGATACTAATTTGGACATTCCTTTATACAGAGCCTGGACCAAATTACTGAATTTTCAACCGCAAGAGAAGCGAGGGCTACTGTCAAGAACACTGTAATCTGGTTCAAGCATGGGTAGGCGACCATTCGAGAAAGAACGAAACCTGCTGCTCACATACAAATTGATGCTGCCAGTAACTGAAGCTGGAGACCTGCACACCTTCCAGCTCGCCTGAACTGCGGTGTCCTTCCAGGTGTGGGAGCCCTGGAGAGGCGGCTAAACATGGAAAGGCCGAGGCATCTCTACCCCTGTCAGGCAACCTAAACATTTTATGATGACAAAAGTAAATAACAAAAGCTGTCTACAAAGTAGCTCACAAGAGGCCCATGAACTTCAGAGACATCTTCAAAGTCACGTCATTCCTGCCGGAAGAGGTGGCTATAATAAACCTTCACAGGAAAGCATTCAAACAATGTGTTCTCTCCCTTAAGGAATAATTTTGGTTGCTTTCTTTTGTCGTGCGTCCTAAGAAGTATGAATTGAAAACATGGGTAAGATATACACAGAAATAAATATCTGAATGGACAGAAAAATACATCTGTCTTTATGCTTTAACATGGAAGTATGCCAGACAGTACTGGTGGACCATTAATTAGCTCCTGGGGAAATCTGAGAAGGCTTTGTGAGATGACTAAAACTAGTCAAGTTGGGAGAGGGGACAGAAATTTCTGAACATAGGGTAGAGTTTGTACAAAGGTATAGAGACATGAGGAGTTGGTTAGTCAATTAAATGGGGAGAGTTTAAGCCGAGCTGCAAGGGAGGTCAACTCACAGAAGCAGGTGAGCGTCCATAGGAATTGGTGCAATGTTGCCAAGGCAAACAGATGAACTGCTAAACAAGAGGAAGTTGTAGCAGGTGCTCTAGGATGCTCAGAGCCTCTCAATGCTCATTCTAATGACAGAATTAAGAATGAACTAGAGAGGAGAAGCGAAAAGACCAGGGGAGAAGTGGTTACAGCCATTCAAGTTGGTGAAAGTCAATCATGACTAAAGTTGAGTAACAGTTGAGAGGAACTCAGCAGATGACTCTATAGAAGTGGAGTTCATGGAACTGGTGGCCATGGAGAAGGAGAAACAACAGGGTAGAGGTGAGTTATGTTAACTAAAGCTACCCACACAGTACAAGAGAGGGCACGGAGAGATTGCTCTGGATGCGCTGAACGCTAAAGCATTTGCAAATGTCCAGTGAGGAGTTGAATGGTGTATGTGAATCCCGGGGAAAAGAGGAAATGAGAACCCCAAGTTGCAGTCATTTGTCAGTAAGTGCTAAAACCTGTTGTTAGAGATGCCTTTCTGGGAAAAAGGAATCTATAATTCTGTTGTTTTAACTTCTGCACAGTGGCTGCCCCTTAGTCTACTGTTATTTCAACCAGCAATTGCCGATTTGCAGTCAGAGGTCTGCTTCTCCATCAGTGACCTGGCTGCTCAGGCTATAGCCTGGGATGAATTCTGTTCCCACAGGCACTGGCTCAGTTGCCACCACTAAAAGTAGTTTTAACTAAATCTCTGTTGTTCTATTTATAAATAAGACTCTAGATTCAAAGGCTGGGGTGAAAACCTGCTAGCTCAGAGAGGCTGGGTCACAAGTAGCTACCCTCTCCTGGCCGGCATCTCCAAAAGACTCATGCATGCTTCTGCTCTGCCAAACCACAAAAGGCTGTGCCACTCCAAATCCCTCTCTACTGTGTCCTGTGTCTCTCTATCTCTGCTGGATGCCCCCTGATGCTCTATGGCTACTTTCTGTCAGCTAGCTGGTAACTCCGCCTCCTGACCCAAAATGAGTTTTATTTACTTAATGCAAGGTTCACAGTGTGATTGAATATCCCCCCACATAATTCAGAAAATGAGTTTCTTGATGGGGAAGCTCAGTCAGTCACATTTGGCTAGGGTGTGGCTGCCTGGGGTGAAGGAAGAAGCACCTGGGGATTGGGTGCCCGCCCCTTGTTTTCTCTCTTTCTCCGCTGCGCGTGATTCTCGCTGGACTTCGGTTGTGTGAGTCTCTCTTTATCCCAGTTATTAAAATTATATTCCTTGTTTTTGAGCTGGTCTTGTTAAACTACCGGTCGACCACGCCCTTCAGTTTCTGGGGGTGGTGGGGCATACAAATTGAAGTGCCAGAAATAACACAATTCCAAAAGTTAAGGATGGAGATGGTTTGGTGGACTGGAAAGCCATAGAATAGGAAGTGGTCCTGAAAAACAGTGATGCACAGCTCCTCTGCCCTTCCTTCTTTTCTGAGCTACCATACCTTGGTAAGCGTGGGACAGTTGGGCTTCAGACTGAGGATTGAGTTCTATTAGCAACAATGCCTCAGATGTCCAGTTGTAGGAGGTCAGTGTTCCTTAAGTGAAGAGAACAGAAATGTATTCAAGGAGACATTTTGTGTATTTGTGAGATAAAACAGTGAGTAAGACGAACCTTGAGGGTGGAGTGGTGGGATGCATGTCCATGTGAGAAGGACTCAAAGAAGGAATAAAGCTGAGACGGGGGCACAGAAGAATTTAAAACCTCCCCTGTAAGAAAGCAGGTATAGGCATTTCATTATTAGTCTTAAATCTAGTATTACTTCTGTTCTTCATTCATCAGCTCATTCACTTACTCAACAAATATCTACAAACATCGTCTTTACTTCAGTTGCTATTATGGTTTCAAACACTCAATCATTAGCAAACTCACTGTGCTCATGTATTTTATATTCCTACTGTCATGGCAAACCATGATAAATATCTGCAAGTAAGATACATGGCCTGCTGGAAAATAGCAAATACAATGGGAGAAGAAAATCATGGAAGGAAATACAGACTGTGAGGCAGAATGTTGATTTTTAGAGTCTCACTGAGAAGGTAGACACTAACTAAAACTCTAACGGATGTCAGGGCATGGTGGACATGAACACCATGGGAACGGAACAGTAAAAGACAATGCATCGAGGACCAGCTTCATTTGGTATATTTCAAGAGTATTGCGAAGAGGCCAGTGTGATCAGAGGAAAGGGAATGAGAAGTCGGGGTGAGTGAGCTGGGGGTTTGATAAATGAACTTGCAGGTTGGGTGGAGATGACTGAGCACAGTCAAGTGCATTGGGAAGAGGGCCACTGCCTTCCTGCCCAGTTGATGACTTTGGCACACTGGATTGTAATCAGAGGTTTCTCTCCCACCCGCCAGCTCCCAAACAATCACTCAGATTCTCAATATTAATTAGAAATGCTTGGATGATGGCTCAGACTTTTTATTAGATAGCTCTTATATTTAAATTAACCCATTTCTATTGATCTGTGTATTGTCACGTGGTCCATAGCTTACCGGTGGTGCTCTGGCATGTTGCTCCTTTGGCGGCGACTGGTGTCTCTCTAACTCTACCCTTCTCCTGTATCTCTGCTTGGATTTCCCACCTGACTCTATCCTGCCTTGCCATAGGCCAAAGTAGCTTTATTTATCAACCAATGAGAGCAACACATATTCGCAGCATACAGAAAGACATCCCATAGGACTGGATAGAAAAGGAAGCCTTATATGGTAGTGTCCCTTTGTCCAGCTCATCTTTTCAAATAAGAAAACTTCAATCTACTGTCTCCTAATTGGGTCCCTTTCATTCCTGAGCCATGATTACTAAGACATGGAATGTTCTTCAGCGGATTTGGACAGATGTAATATGCTATTGCAGATGTAATATGCTTCCTTGTATGTTTAGTTCTAGAAGTTCATTATCTAATTTCACATATAATTCCATTACACAGTTCAATTTCCATAGAACACATTTAAGGAAATGCTATGCAGATTCAAATGGGAGATCACTGTTTTACAACTTTGAAAATGTCATCCTGGAGGTCTTTATACACAATATGTAGTTGCCTTCTTGTGAGTGATTATATATAAATTCTATTTCTTGGACGATCTGATATCACTCATGAGCTTATCGGATGCTACTATCTTTTGATATTAAAGACAGTTACGTGATAAGCATTTTAGTTATCTCTAATGAATGATCCAAATAATAAAGTTAACATTATTAGGCCATAGAGTGTGTGCTTATTGTTACAATATGTGCCCAAATTTCCCTTTTGAGAGAGAATTATTCTTTCTATCAGCAGTGTATTAAACAGGAAATTCTCCACATTCTTTCCAACTCCTAATATGATTAAAAATTCATTCTTCCTGTTTGGATGGGAATAGTAGCTGACCTCCTTAACAACATACCAACTTTCCCTTCTTCTTAGTGTACATAATTAAGGGTGGGCTGTTTTGATATACGTACCCATTCGGAATGTATACAAATCAAGGAGACTAACATATTCCTATCTTATACAGTTGGCTTCTGTGAATGTAAGAATGTTGGGCTCTTCCAAGTCAGCAGATATTGGATACATGATATAGCCGTTCTTACTGGAATCCTTGTACCCCACGATCTAGACTCTGGTCCTGTGCCTTTGCTCCATTTGAATTTCCTCTTCCTGTCCCTCCTTCCAAACTACTTTTCTTCTTTTTTCTGTATAGTTGATATTTTTCAAACCCATTCTTTTAAGTTTTTCTTTCTTACAAAATTTAGTGTTTTTATTTTTTTTAAAGGAATTTACCCTAAGTATTAGATTCCATTATGATGTTTTCAGACAAGGTGTGTTTTTGTGGCTTTCATTCTCCTAGTCTTCCACACCCCTCTTCTCCCTTTCTACCCCTTGCCCTAGATTTCCTTTTTTTTCCATCTAGAGGCTGAGGAAGAAGGTAAGAGACAAGAACCAGAGAGAAGTACAGACATCACAAGTCTCAGAAAGGTGACTCATCACCTGACCTGCAGGACATTACGTTCTTGAGCTCAAGAATGATTGACTGTTTTGGGTTGGCTTCTTTCCAACATCCTCCAACCCGCTCTGAAGCTGGATGACTGGGGAAGGTATGTAAGGAAGTCTGATTCAGCTGTTAGCTCTTGGTCTTCTCAGACCGCAAGCTCTCAATAAAACACAACCTGAAGATTCACCCCCTGTCTCTGTTCACTGACATTTACAGCTGCAGACAGCACAAATTAAGAACACACACACACACACACACACACACACACACACACACACACACACTTCTAATTTAGTGAACATTAAGTACAATGCTATTCTCTGGAGTACAGCATACACAAACACACACACACACACACACACACACACACACACACACACACACACACATGTCTTCATAGGTATTCATGCTAAAAGAAAATAAGAAAAAGTAAAACCTGCTCTTATTTCCCTCTACTCTCAGAAGACTTCAAAATACAAAGCCTCATCTATTCCCAAGGGGAGAGCTGCTCTAAGCTGTTGTAGCCCCATTAAAGCTACCTCTCTGGTTTCTGTGCTCTCGGCACACCTGTGAGTAATCATTTACTCCTAGAGCTATCTGAATCAGGAGCCAAACTCCATACAGTAGAAGCATGGAAAACCTACAAAAGACTTTATGAAGCAATCTATCTGTATGAACACAAGACTCAAAATACATGTTCCTCTCATCTCAGCTGCTCTGCGTCTCAGAAATTATCCCCCAGGTGATCACAAAAACATTTAGAAGTTTTGGAAAAAATACCATAATAAAATGCAAAAGAGAGCTGTATCTAACTGAGCAAGCTACGGTATGTCTACTTAAAGGGATATTAAAACAAAGATGCAACAAAGACAAAAACAGTGAGAAACCAAAGAAAAGATAAAAAAAAAATCCTCAAAGGTAGCTTTCTGTCCTTGTAGTTAGCAAATATTCATATAATTTTGCACGAGATTCATTGTTAAAACTATTTGAAATCAATACAGAGTCCAATGTAAATATCACTGGTGGTTTTAAATTATTTTATCTTTATAGGTTCCCCATGAAATCATTGCATTATTCTTAAATTTGAAATATACATGCTAAGGAGCAAACGCCTATATCTCAGGATATGCATGAATGTACAGCGCCATATCTCCTGAGCATAGAACTGTATTTTGTAGTATACTTAAATGCTACGGAATTATAAATTTAACGTAAGATCGAACTTTCTAAACATTAAAATGATAAAGACTTTAAAATGATACGACTACAACCCAGGAAGGCTGTGGAGCCTCACTAGATTCACAAGGGATAAAAAATATCTTTGTCATCTGAGGTAAATTCTGCATTTCTGATTTTGGACAAGGAAGTGGACACAATGACCTCTTGAGGTCAGCTCTGAGCCATCGGATCTATTAGTCATCTTGTTCATGATCTTTTCGCAGAAGCCGTTTATTACAGAATCCCAAACAATGACAGGCTCTTCATGGACTCCAGCTGTACCCTGGTGGGAGGATGCTCTAGCCAGCAATACTGCAGGCTATTCAAGAGCCGCTTGAGGCACAGCTGACTGCCTGGTCTTCCTCATTTCCACATCACCTTGCACACACAATGTCCTCCCTCCCACTGAACCATGGAAGTCTTCCAGAGCTTTGATCTCTCTGCTTTGTCCATTGCCTGGGACTTCCCCATCATTGGGAAATCTGTTTCTTCCACAGTTACCCGAAGTCAGTCAGGCAGCTGAGGGATGGCAAGTTCACTCAATCCTGTCCCCAGCTTGGCTTTCTATGACCTATGACAACCATGTCTAACCTTTTCTCCCTGTCTATATGTGTGGTGGGCATTACAACCCTATGACCTGGGCTTTTCTGGCCTGGCTTGTTTTTGCTACTTAGGTTACAGGAACTGATACCATGGCTCCCAAGAAATCTTTTAGAGAAAGAAGGAAAGCTACTGTGAGGCTGAGTTCATGAACACGGGTTCTGTTGCTTTCTTGATGGAACAGACTAGGTTCCTGGAGCAATCCCAAATAACATCAGCTTTCCTAGGCAGATGAGGAAGGCAGAGAAACAAGGCACAGTCTCCTGATGAGCAGAGATCTCAGATGGTCTCAGACACGACTCTGTTGGGTTGAAGTGCTTGTTGGTAACAGGATGGTACATGAGGCCACTGTATTTAAGCATTGAGGAAAGTAGGAAAGCATTCTGGGGACTCCCTTCTTGGACCCCAACGCCATCACCCCCTTAACTCCTAAGAACTCTCAGCACAGAGAATTCTGGTCATTTCCTGCTATGTTCTTATCTGAGGCACCTGTTGTAGCCCAGCCAGTACTTCTGTTCCACTGTAAGACAGCTCATTAAGAGGTTGCATCTTTAAGTAGTGCTTGGCCTAGCGATCCAGGGATCTGAGAGGGTCAACACCTCGGAAACAAGCTGACTTCTCTCATCTGCAGCCAGCAGGCTTCACAGGTAAGGGAGGGGCAAAGGCAGTCAGTCCAACATGCAGGAGTTCAGGTTTGCCCCTGAGTCCATTTCATCAGTCACGTTTATGAGACTTGTGACATGTATTGCCTCTTACCACGCTCTACACTTTTCCTCATTCTCTGGACATCTGGGTTCAGCCACTTCTTGGAAGACTGAGTCACAGCAGTGTCTGCATTCCCCACTCAGAGGAAGCAAGTGTAACAATGTGTGCTCACTAAGAACTAATTCGGTGTACGTGTAGATTCCTTTCTACAGCATAGAGACAAAAGTGCCCCGGGCTACTCCTTGTTCTCTGTCACTTGGTCTGAAGCAGTCTTTAAATAGGGGTAGGTTAATTCAAGGAACTAAGAGAGGGTCAAATTCATACAGACTTAGCACTGAAGGACACAGTCCTAATTATGTTCTTTTATTTGTATGCGTGTTCTGCCTGCATGGATGTATGTGCACCATGGACACACTTGGTGCTCATGAAGGATAGGAGAGGGTGTCAGATCACCTGAAACCATAGTTCCAGGTGGTTGCAGGCCACCACATAGTTGCTGGAAACAGAACATGGGATGTAAGTAAGAGCAGCAAGTGCTCTTGAACGCCGAGTCATCTTTCCTCACAGTCATGATTTTTGTCTTTGGGATGAAGTGTAAATCTGATAATAAGGATATAAGAAAATGGGTTTCAATATGGATATATTTAGAGAATGAATTTGGCAACCAGCATTCCATTTTTTGGCGGGCAATGAATTATTTTTAAAAGTAAAAGTTATTTGGTAACCTATGGCTTCTGGGAGGGGCTGGATCCCCTCTGTAGGGTAACTCCAACTAAACTCTTTATATGTGTGTGTGTATGTATATATACACACATATATGTTCATATACATGTATACATATACATGCATCTACACATACACATATATGTGTATACACACATATATGTGTGTGTACATATATGTGTGTAAATAAAGCTTCTAGAACAGTAGTTTTCCATGTGGCGTTCTCAGGCATCTTTAGTGACAGTCATCCTCCTCCCACGCCACTGCCTTTCTCCTCACCTCATCTCTCTTCCCCATGATTCTCCCTTTCAGAGTTGATGGCTTCTGGGAGCAAGAGAGTCAGCTGTCTTTAAGAATGTGGCCCTGGGTGGACAGCAAGCTCCAGCAGTGGCTCCACACCCTGCAGGGCATGGTAGCGCAAAAGCTTTATGCCAGCTCGAATTCTCATGATGCTTTCATTAATTCCATCCGAAAATCCTTAACCCTACTAACCGCCTGGTTATTCTGTGCCTATGAGGACCTATAAATCTCCCTCCAGATACATTTCAGCATAGCTCTTGATCCCTGAGGGCCCCTGACCCCTCCAACTGACCACTTTAAGTGGGGAGAACCCTGACGGATATGAAATATGTCTTCCTCTCCCCATGTGAACAATATTCTTTTCTATTTTTTGCCTAAATAAGTTTATTAATTAATTAATTAATTACTTTTTAATGTACTAATCCAAGTTCCCCCTCACTCCTCTCCTCCAGCTCCCCCTCACCCTCCAACTCACCTCCCATCTGCTCCTCAGAGAGGTTAAGTCCCGCCCTGGGAAGTCAACTATGACGACCGGACAATATTCCAGTTCGATTCTGCAAATTTGTGAATTTGATGTGTTATATCTGGCCTTTTTTTTTTTTTTTTAAAAAAAAACTTTTTACTCCGCATCCCTATATCGTTGCTATTGTCGTTGTGTCCGGCTGTTTTCTTGCTGGGTGGGAGGTGACTAATTGTTTCATTATGTTGCAATCTACTGCTTAAATTTTGTCTACAGATTGATGAGTCACACTACCCTGAATGTTCTTGTACACCTTCTTGGGTGTACATGGGGCCTTGTTTCTGTTGAGCAAATATCTGGGAGTGGCTTCTGGTCAGACTCTGTGGTGTTCTCAGCTGAGGTGCATCCTGCCCACTGTTGAAAACCCTGAAGGTCTAAGACAGATCTTTACAGTTACAGCTCTGTCACCTACTACTGTAGCCATTGATGCGAAGTAGCCAGGGCTCCCTATTGATTGTCTTTCTTCAAGTTAACTGGCCAATCTCTGCCTCTAGGGAATGTCACAAAGCCTGTCTATTTTTAGGCCAAAAAAGGGAAAGATTACCCGGTTCTTCTGCCCACAGTCTAACGCAGTAGAGCAGATAAATGCACTCATTGCCAAGTTGCGTTCCTCAAAACTATAAAGGCCCCATTTCCTCCCTCACCACCTGGTGTCACTCCGTCTTTAATCACACCTGCGGGCCTGCTCAGACGAGCAGAGTGGACCGAGGGAGCCAGGAAACATGAAGGTCTTGTTATTCTTTGCTGTTTTCTTCTGCTTGGTCCGAGGAAACTCAGGTAAATGGTTTTGGATTGCTCTGCAGAAGGCAGGACTCCCATCTTTGCGCGTGGACAGCGCTGAGGTGTGTCTGAGTATGGACAGCAGTCACAGATGGTGGGCCACTCTGGGGCTCAGGTCTGGACCACTTGCGTAATGAAGAGGTTTGGGGGTTTTATATTTGTTTTTGTTTGTTTTGAGAATTGTGAGGTTTACAGCACAAGACATAGACACCTGTTTTCTCCAATGCAAATAGAAAGGTCTAATCACAATCTGAGACAGTTTGTGCAGGCCAGAAGTACAGTCATACATAGTCATACGTGTGTCAGAACTGGAAGAGGTATAGTCATACATGTGTCAGAACTGGAAGAGGTATAGTCATACATGTGTCAGAACTGAAGAGAGCTAGAGATCTTCTCAGGCAGCCCAGAGTCTGTGGGCAGGGAACCAGACTGCAGAGAAAGATTACTGCCCTGCAGAGAACAGAGAAGGTATTCTTGTCAACAGCATCCCCTAGCTTTTGTAGGTACCCTATTATATCCATGACAAAACAGATGTATCCATTTAAAGGAATTTCCAAGCGAGAGAAAATGAGTTACTTTAGGAAAACCAGAGTCCCGATCCCGAAGCCATTGGATTAGTGGCTCTTCGGTCTTAGTTAAGGTGAACTATGCCGGCATCTCCTCGTCCCCTCCAGACTGTGGTAGACTCGATGGACACACTAGCATAGATCAGTCCCCGTTTGAAGTTTGACTATCGCAGGAGACTATTTTTCTAAACATGTAAGACGTATGTTATGTTACTGTTGCTTTTAAACTCATGATATGTAACATTCTTAAAAAGGTCTCTTTCCCACAGAGCAGAGCTTTCTTTATGGAAACTAGTCGTTTATTTTTCACACACACACACACACACACACACACACACACACACACACAGAGTCATATTTTTATTTTGCTTTTTTATATTGTAGCAATATGAACGACAGTCCAGCCACAAGCTGAAAGGCAGACCCATTTCTAATTTTTCTACAGCCTGATACCTGCCTCCCATTACTCTGTTCTCTAAAATGTCACCCTGCCAAGGCCACTGAAGGATCCTCATGTAACAAGTTTCTCAAGGCCTGCAAGGAGCCAAGCGATTTGCATGACACACACAGCCTGTCTCATGCCATCCTGGAACCGCCGTGAGATAGAAAGTATTGTTTTATAAGCTAGGGAGTCAAAACTCACTGAAAACAGGCCTTTTTAAGAATTCGGTGAACTCTTAGCCCTGGGCTGTGGACTGGACTTCCTAACTCTCTGTCTACTGGATCCACAGGGGACATTCCACCCGGAGTCAGAAACACCGTCTGCCTCATGCAGTACGGCCGCTGCAGACTCTTTCTGTGTCGTTCTGGTGAGAAAAGGGGGGACATCTGCTCTGACCCCTGGAACAGGTGCTGCATTCCCAGCTCCCTTGAAAACAGAAGACAGGCGACATAGGAGGGAAGAGCTGGGACCTGGGGTGCAAGCCTCTGGAAGGTGGAGCCCCGGAAACACCTCAAAGCCTTTGAGGGTGGGCATCTGATGGCGTGAGCTCAATAAACACTTGCTGAATGACTGTAGCCCCAATGCAAAGGTTCATTGAAAGGATTTTATTGGAAATGTGTTAATTCACCATTGGTTTTAAAGAGCTTGGGGGACTTCCAGCATTCCCTTCATCTCTGCCTCATCCTTCCTGTGGTCTCCTACACACTCAGGGATGGCAGAGAGCTTGCAGCCCCAAACAGTTTTCAAAGGGACAGAAATGGCTGACTTGCCGCCCTTATGTCCTCTGTGGCACCCGTATTTTCAAGCCCAGCATTAGCTCCTTCCCTCTTGCTCAAGCCACTAGTGTGCCGGCTGCAGTCCCGGCGCCTCCTCACGTTGTGGTTTCATTGCCCTTTCAACATTTACTCTTTTGTTATCTCAACCAAATAATGGTGGTTATTATAATATAATAAATGGTGACCTTGCCATCTTTATAGAGAATGTAATAAGGTTTACACATGGCCATCCGTGGGATTTAAGAAAAACGAAAAAAAATGATCAAGGCCAATCAAATTGCCCAAATCAGAAATTCATAAACAGGATTCTTGATAAGCCTCTTTAGGTGTTTATTTGTTTTACTGTGTGTGTGTGGTGTGTGTCTGTCTATGTTTGTCTGTGTGTGTGTTGGTATGTATGCATATATACAGTGTGTTTGTGTGTG